TCCCTCTAAGGCCTAGTACTAAAACTGATGAATTGAGTCCAGCGCAGTGTTTTGGAAGAAAAGTTGTCTTAGCAGGCGAAATGCACTCAAATAGACTAATGTGGACTGCAGCGAATTCATCGCTCCAATCGAAAAATCCAAGTATTGCCGCGCCCATCGAAAAATGCCGCATTACGGCGCCGCGCAAGCAACCGCGCGCGACGGCGCCAATCCCGGACGATTCTGTTGCACGCTCCCCGTCAGATTCGGATGGAGACTCATTGGTCCTTCATTGTAAAGGAGTTCTACAGCGAACCGAAGCAAAAGGGATTAATCCATCCATCAATCGATCATGCAATCGTTGCCGCATGGTCAAATTTTGATCCTAATGTAATGGTTGCAAGCATTCCAAAAAGTAAATGTGGTCCCTACTGTTGATGGAGAACTATACCATTACTGTAAGTCACAACGTTGTTTTTGTTGTGACAAAATTTCTCAACGAGTGATGTGTAGTCATATTTGTGAAACAGTGAAATCGCGCCGAAAAAAAAGACGTTTCAATTACTCAAGATTGAAAGTTCTTCAAAAAATCACTGCCGAGGTTTTTTGTCATGAGAAATTCATGGTGGCCACCGTATTTTTTCAAATCGGCAATTTTGGTATAGCAAAAAAATAAGGGTGTACCTATATTAACGAGCGCAATGTATCGAAGCGTAGCTGCGTCGCTACATACGTGCCGCGCTTGCAGCGGAAACGCACTGTATGGTTCCTTAGGAATCCAGTCTCACTTGATGGTCAGCGATTTCCTGTGCTTCAAAATCCAATTTATGGTGTTTCTGACCATGAGGAAGGAGAGGGCAAAAAAGACTGTTTGCCCATGTATTCAGCAGTTTCTTGTCACATAGATTGTCTTTTGACTGGTGTATTACAGAAGAAAAATCCCTGTAATGCTCCTCTTTGGTAGGCATGCCCTAATTCACTGTCCTCAGCATCTTCATAATGCGACCTCTTTGCCATCGCCGTCGAGCTCAAGAAAGGCCTACCGTAATCTGCTCCGACCTGAAGCTGCTATATGTATAATTTCTTCAATCGGTAACTGATGAATAGCTTCTTAGGACACTAGCTGTGACTGTGCAAGGAGGCCTTTGATCAGCATTTCAAGTAAGGTGTGATAAGGTGTCGGATCCAAGATCCGGGGAACCTTGCTCGAGCTCGGCCGTAAACCGTCCCATGCAAATCTCTGCAGGTCGTCAAGTTATCTGGGGCGCAAAATCTCTATTACTTAGAAAACAAAAATACGCTACTCTGGTGGAAGCCAATCGACTTCGAACTTAAGACAAGGTGTGTATTTAATGTCCTTCCAAGCTAGACGAAAAATGTCCTGGTCTCAGAGCCCCCTCCTCCCTTTTCCGTATATTCAGTGCAAAAAATGAAAGAAGGGCATCAAATCTCAAAAAAGATTGTAAGAGGTAATCCACCTTATAGACAAGATTAGAATATGAATCGGGAACGTAAACGTGCAGAACATCATTGCATTTTCGTAATTCATCAATAAATGAAGGAGGAGCATAGTCGATACCCGTCACGAATAAAACGGACACGGTTTTATTCTGAAAATTTGCAAACATATAAATAATGACTCGAGAACTTCGGCGTATAAGAAAATTTTGTGACGACAGAAAGGAAAATCAAAAGTCAACCACAACTATGTTCTGGTCTTTGATGAATTTCAGACAATCTCAAAAAATACTAAAAGAAAAGAAGGGAAACCCACATGGACAGCTTCCGAGAACAGCGGATTCGCCCACGTTTGGCGTATTGCATTACGTATTCCGGTCTCACCAGGTCTTGTGCTCACGACCACTATCACCTTTGACTCTTTGTGGATTTTTGGAGAAGTGAAATACAGGCTGAAATCATGTGGTACGACTCGATGTGTTCTTGTAAAAAAAAAGTCAAAGAAAGTAATGGAAAGTAAGCCTAACCCTCAATTTACAGGTCTGTGCGAGATGTGTGGGGCCTTTGGACATGTTTTAGCCAATATGTTGCAAATTATTGGGTTGATTTATAAGGAATATCCGGCTTTGTCAAAGCCAAGCCGAATTTGCTAAAGCGTGCCTGCTTGCCCGTGCCAAGCAGTATACACTGCGTTTCATAAATATAGGTCCACCCTAATTTTTTGCTATTCCAAAGTTGCTGTGCATTTTTGGAAAATGCCGCTATTACCAATAGTTTCCCCATAACGAAAAACCTTGATACTTGATTTCTGGAGAAATCTCGATTCAGAATTATTAAAATATCTTCCTTAGAACGTATTTTCACCGTTTCGCAAATATGACTACACATCACTTGTCGAGAGATTTTACTATAACGAAAAAACGTCACGAATTTTCAATAATGGGATGACCCCCAATAATCATAAGGAACACAATAATACGTTTTGAAATGCTGGTAGCCAAATTAGCTATTACAGTAGGATCGAAATTCGTCTGGGCGCCGATGATCGACCTTTTCAGCTTTTCGGCTGTTCCATTTTGCTTTACTTTGCTGTGGAACTTTATAACAATTAAGGCCCAATGATTCTCTATTGGAATCTAATTCAGATAACATGGTGGCCACCAGATAACTGCCACATTTTTTCCTGCAATTCCATCTGGCGCGGAGGGACCGGCATGGACAGCCGCGTTATCGTGTGTTTACGATACACTGT